GAAGTGATATGGAACTGTAATACGGTCAAGAGAGCTGCCTGGAACTACGTTCGCCGTGCGTTTCCCTGAAAATAATTGCACACCTCAGAACGTTCGTCAGCCAATCAGATTCAAGCATTCAACGGTCCCGTAGTATAACACACCTGATTCAACTCCTTGTGCTAATTAACATGCAGCTCTTGAGCTGAATCATTTGTGGTGGAACAGGGAAAGAACTAAGCTACACAGGGCTCCGGCCCCCCAGGACTGGAGTTTGACACCCCTGGTTTAAGGGATCAATATGCTGAAACTTACTTCTCACAAATCTCATGAATATTATGTCATATTTAGTTGTCAGGCCTCTTTTTCATCTTTAAAAAGTAAAAATGCAATGGCATATGAAACACATCCAAACACAAAAGCATCCGAGCAGAACTGGCAAACACAAAGAGGCACACAAACAAACGCACAAACAGACACACGCGCACAGTCACACATTCAGGGGCACAGTGGCCCTGTGTGTACGCAGGGCTGCGCTGAGGGCAAGGCTGCGGCGCGCAGGTTCCGGGGTGAAGCGCCCGCCTCTCACTCTCGTTCCGAGTCTGCGAGCCTGTCGTACCAGCGGGCCCATCTCGGCCAGGCTCAGGGAAGCGACCACAGAACAGGCTTCAGGGAGAACTGCCTCTTCCTGTTGTTAAGGATTGACCACAGCCGTGACTTTTATGGACACGTCTTGCTCTGGTTCAAAAGCAGAGTCACCTTGGCCAGCTGGGATAAGGATCACGGTGTGCGAGCACGTGTGTCGTTTTAGACCCTTACCATGACCGGCACAACGAGGCAGCAGCCAGGCTGACCACGACTGTGTCTCCCCCGTCCCGACAGGGATGCCATCGATGCGGTCAGCCAGCTGTACGAGCAGGTGGACGAGCTGGTGCATGGGCTGGTGAAGCTGTCCAACAAGCGCACACAGGAGCTGGAGCTGGTCATGGAGTTCAAGAGCCTGGAGGAAGGTTTCCAGGAGGTGAGCTGCAGAAGGGATGTATGACAAAGGAGCTTAAGCAGATACGCTGTAAGTGTGACTGTGAAGAAAGCTGAATGGGAGAAAGCCCTGTGAGAATCGCCGCTTCGCAGGGTTTGGAGTTGACACGTAAATCTTCTGGGCCTCCTAGACATTTATACAAAGATCGTGTGGAACATATTAATGAGGTTTCTCGTGACCTGGAACGAAAAGACAATTTAGGAGCCTGGCTGTGAGAATAGTCATTGTAGCGGCCCTCATCTAGCGATGCATCTTGTCGTTCATTGTGTAAGTGAATCGTGTGGTTTTGAAATCAGGTGAGGGGCTGGATTGAGGAAGTGGGGGAAAGTCGCCTGAAGACCCTCAGTGAGCTGGGAGACTCTCTGGAGCAGCTGCACAAGAAGCAAGGCCTCTTCAAAGACTTCTACTCCGCCGCATACGTGAGTCTGTGTCCCGACTTTTGACTACTGAGGTACCATGTGAATGTCTAATGCCGTACTCTGTCCGGGGGGTACCCCGTGGAGGTAAGCACGTAAGCCGTGACCACTCCTGTGCCACCCATGGTTTATATTCCGGCGTTTACAGGAGCACTGCAAGAGCGGGGAGGCCCTGCTGAAACGGCTAGAGCGCTGGGAGGACGTGAGCTCCGCAGAGCTGCAGGTCTACGAGGTGAAGGTGCGCTCCTTCTGGGTGCACCTCCATGATTTCTCCCAGAGGGTGGAGGACACCAAGGATAAGATCGACAAGACCGTCCGACTCTATGAGTTCTTTGACAAGGTAAGAGCCAGGTGCTTCTGCCGCGTTTAGCCAGAACCATAAGCGCGCTCTCTGAGATCTCTGTAGAGGTGGTGCTTTGGTGGCATTGTCTTGGTGTCTGTGTGGGATGAAAAGCAGCTGCACTGCAGGGCAGATCATGATAATTACACAGCTCTGCTCCAGCACTCTGATGGATTTCTCATGGTAGTTTTCTTCAGGAGGCCGTTCCTTAGCGTAAGCTAGCTTGGGACCCCGAGGGTGCTACTTCTCCCACCAGATGTGCTTATGGAATGCAGATGTGCAAACTGCTTTGGGTGATAGTGCTACTGACCATGAGTAGGACACAAGACTCTTGTGTGGTCACTTTGATTTGTCCTTGCAAGATATGGCTCCTATTACCTATTACTGTACTGCTGTGCTTACTGTAGTCTATATATAGATTTAATCATCATATATGCATTTGATTTGTAGTCTTCCTTGCAGTGTTTCAAGTTCAAAGTAATTGCAGTTTTTAATTCATGAAGGGGCCTGCAGGATGTCTGGCAGCTTAGTTAGTGTGTGTGACTTCACTGCAGTCCAACAACAATGAATGGTTTCTAATTGGAATCTGTCCATTCTGTGTGCTTCCATTGTATCCCCATGACTCTGGTAGCCACGGCAATGAATGAGTGACAATTGCACACTTTTCCCAAATTACGGAAGCTGTCAGACGGTGATACGCTGTCAAGTTATACTCCGAATTCTTATGCTGTATTTTAGGCGTCGGCAGGTTTTGTTAAATTTACACTTTAAACCCGAAAGAAAATATTGTTCTCGGAAATGGGCAAGATGCAGTGAAAAAATGACTGTATGTTGAAGTAGAGGTGAGGGATTGCCATAGCATCTGTATTGCATCTATAATCAGTTAACAATGATGCACTGAGTCAACAGTGTTTCATTAAAAAGGACGCATTAAATACAGGCTGCTGTTTTGTGTCAGTGAGATCATCCCAATGCTGCTGGCTAATGGGTTCCATAAGGTAGTGATTCAAAAGCTGCTTTTATGTTTAGACTGTGGTATAACATGGGGGGGCGGACGGCTGGTAGCTTTCATTTACAGCATCATTGTAGGATGTAAGCATCAGTTCCCCAGGAAGGAGGAGATCCATGCAGCCAGGCCTGGTCAGGTACAGCAAAATGCAGGGGCAGTTTAAACCTGAAGCCTTGTGCTGTTGTTTCAGTTCAGATTAGCGCCCCACAAACTCTGCCTCAAGTATTAATGTCTCCATACCTTCCTTCATGTGAGTCCTGGTGAAACTTTATCTGTTGCATGAGTCCCTGAATCCGCGTCCTTAATTCCTACATTGCTTGGTACCCTGTAAACGGCTTATTTGACTACTTTGACATGTGCTTGTAAAAGTGTATTTTGGGCTGGAGGCGTTCTAGTCGTGCTTCTTTGTGTCAGTGCTGAGGCGGCACATGGAGGATTCCCCTCAGGAGCGGGCTGGCCGGGCTGCTCCCTCCGACCTGGGCCAGCATGCCGGCCACCTTTCCTGCGCATGGGGATCCCATGCCATCTGTTAGCTTATTGAACTGTGACATTAATCCCAGTTGTTTTCAGGGCACAATGTGTGCTGATAGCTTAGCATGCATTTGCATTTAGATATATTCAGCACTTGCCCCGGGCATATTGTACCCAGACATGTTTACTAAATTGTTCAACAAGTGGAGAAATTCTGTGGAAAAAGCATCAGTTGTCCTTGTCGCTCGGTATTGTGGGAAAGTGAGTCACATGGATGGGCTGTGGAATACTTACTCCTATGGGGTCTGCTCTGTGGGACCAGCGCACACTATGGTCTTCTGGGTTCCTGTGCTTACATAGGGGCAAATTTCTTAATTTCCTTTTATCTAAATTTTGCTATGACTGTCTCTCCAGGCTGGTTATGTTAAAAAAAAAGTTGTCCAAGTTCTCTAAGGAAGTTCTGTGGTATGGAGCATGCTCCATGTGGTGAACTGTTGGACGGTCTTTCAGTCTGCTTTTTGTGGTGAGTCATTACCCACAATTCCCTTGGAAAGAAGGAAGTAGAGCCCATTAAGGTTACTTATGGTGGGAAGCAGTACCAGACATGGCTCTCTGACTAGTGCTCAGCTCCTTCAGAATCGTGCTCAGAAGGTTGCAGTGAATTGACAGGGAGTTGATCCCCAGTGCTGTACCCCACTCACACCAACACTGGAGTGTGCAGTGCCTCTTACAGGTCAGCCCAATGGTAAATACACAGTATGAAAACACAGCTGTAAATGGGTTAGCAGCCCCCCAGCTGGGCTCCAGAGGGATCCAACCCCGCTTTCTCCTCACAAAGCCCCATGAACACGCCTGGGTGGGTTTGCCCTACAGCCAGAGGTGTCAGGTCTGGACTTGGAGCCAGCGGGCTGAACCGTGACTGTCTCCCCACAGTGGGTCTGCGACAGGCCCCCGTGGGCACGGGCCGCTCATTGTCCCTGACCCTGCGTGCCGCGCTGACCTCCTCGCGGGCCAGATGGGCTCAGCCCAAGGAGTGCGGAGTCACTCGGGTGATTCCTCACCGCTTGATGTGTCGACAAAGGAAAATGTGAGTGCCAGGTTCAACAGCCAGCCAGACGCATTGGAAGGAGCTGCTCTGACTCGACTCGACTCGAATCCAGATGCCTGAAATATTCGTTTCATACATTTAATAGGACTTAAGTTTTCTAACAGAGAAATGTTTCAGTAATATTAGGTTATTTAATCTTTTTTAATTGTTATTGTTGAAGTAATATAATACATTTCAAAGCTGTCAGTCATCTGAATCATAAAAGTTTCTCTATTATTTTGTCTTGCTGGTAGCTCATTATGAAGTCTGTTTTTGGGGAAATTTGGCCTAGGTGGTGACTGGGGAAATGGATTAGCCAAGCAGCACAAGAAAGACATTTCTACTGAAACTGCTTTTGTGTGACGCCGCTGGACGTTTGACCGTTGTCCCCCTGCCCTTCAGAACAGGCGGCTCGCTGGTGCCGCTTGTCCCTCAGCGGGGCCTTTCACAGATGACCTGCTGGCCACCCCAGCGACCAGCGGCTCAGTAATTAAGTCCTGGGCTTCTTCTCATGCTTTGTGCAGCACAAGGCTGGTGCCACGGTGTCTGACCTCAGGTGGGCCACCAGCTCGGCAGCGGAGATACGGATGCTTGCCGAGTATCGATCTGGACATCAGCGCCGATCATCTGCAAAGCTCTCGGAGGAGTTGGCTCTGCTTTTGCTCCCAAATTGAATATTGGGGAAAATTAGCATGTGAATGTGAAATTAGCAGCTGAATAAGAACGGTGTAGGCAGCTCAGGCCATCGCCGTCAGACAGCAGCCAAACCTACACCGCTTGTCACAGAACAGCCCCGTCCATAAAGCTGGCCCATTTCAGCCCTAAACGGACACATTTGACAATCTGTGATACAAACATAGATCCATCTGGTACTGATTCATGCATCACGTCTGTCTGGTCAGTCGCTGGTTTTCTGGGGTCGGTCCAGTGCCAAGTTTTACCTCCTCCCCTCCTTCCCCACTCCAGTTGCTTTGTAGTGCCGTGACAGACACCCATCTCACCCCCCCTCCCCCCCAACCCTCCACCCACCAGCCCCAACCCCCCCATCCCGTGACTGGGGGGCTTGCCCATCTGCTATTTAGACTAACATTTGCCTGTGAATTGGGGAAGGGAGCATGGATGGGGCCTCTGGGCGCCGGGGGCTGAGTGTGGACTCGGTGTGCAGCATGACTGCGGCCGCAGCAGCTCCATGTGCCGAGCAGGAACCGGAGCAGGAGACGGCGGACGGCCGGCGTGGCCAGGTAGGGCGGCCTCACGGGCTGCTGTGGCACCTAAGAGGGTCACCGATTTATCCATTATCACATGCATCTCTGCTGATATTTTTCATTAAAATATTGTGATTGGTGGGTTGAATGTAGCTTGCATGATGTTGCGGATTTGAGCTAACAGCGGACTGGGGGCTCGTATGCTGTAGATCTGTATGGAGCTGACACCGGTCTGTGTGCTGCACGGGGATGATCTGCCGGTGTAAAGCCGGGGCTCTGTGTGTGGCAGTGACCTGCGGAGTCTCATATACCCCAGCGGGGTCTCATATACCCCAGCGGGGTCTCATATACCCCAGCGAGGTCCTCTGCTCAAACAAGCGTCGTTTTTAATGTAGTCATTCAGCCAGGAAAATGGAATCCACCCCTTTTATATTTTGTAAGCTGATGTGTTGATAACTTTTTTCACAGCTATAGCTGGGGGGCCGTACTGCCCCCCCTCTTTCCTAGCTCTGTACGTCTCACAGTACAAGTTGGGGTGAGCTTCTCTGTTTGATGTTCGTCTGCGGAGTGTTGCAGCTGTTCTTTTGGTGGGGGGGGATTGCGTGTGTGTGTGGGTAACAGAGCGTGTGTCTCCCATAGAAAACTCTGAAAATGTGTGAGGAATGATAAACGGAATATAGAGATTGTTTATACACCAAAATTGTTTATACATTGAAATGCTATTGTTTAGAGAGGCAGATGGAGACTTCAGATTATTTCAGACTGCAGGGAATATAGGCCATTCACTGGGTGTTTATACATAGTGACACTTGTCCACTCTGTATAAGCTAATAGGTGTAGACATGCCAGGAGACATTCCAGAGGGGAATTAAACACCCCCCACCCTAACCCCTTCCCTTTCATCTGTTGGACTCCGAATCCTGGTGGTTTGATTTAGCTGAACTTACTGGGTCAGTGGGCACCCCAGAGCATACTTCCAAAGATCCTGGAGACTGAGTTCAGGGGTCACCAGAGTACATCTGCTGCGAGATGCAGTAATCAGCTGCCATCTCTTAATTGTGGCCCAGATGACTTCACTGTGTTTGCATTTCTCAGCCCAGAGTTAGGAAGCCAAAAGAGGCTCAAGGAAGCCTGTTGTGTCTGCTTTGCGTCTCAGCGCTGAAGGGCATCGGGCCCAGTGCAGTCATGAGCCTACTGGCACATCCACGGCACATGAAGCGGCTCACCCGGGCAGTCACCCGGACAGTCAGCTGTGGCAATCACCCGGGCAGTCATCCAGACAGCCAGCTGTGGCAGTCACCCGGACAGCCAGCTGTGGCAGTCACCCGGACAGTCGCCCGGACAGCCAGCTGTGGCAGTCGCCCGGGCAGTCGCCCGGACAGTCGCCCGGACAGCCAGCTGTGGCAGTCGCCCGGGCAG